GTATAGTAATCAGTCTCAAAAGATTAAACTATGTCTTAAATGGAAAAAAAATAATGAAAAATAATTTCTAAAAGGTACTTCACAGGTCTCTTTCCTCAATCACAGCAGGCCGGGCAGGCAACCTAGATCCTTCGTAGGACTCTAAAGCTTCATGGTGTCCTGCATCCAGTCTAGGAACGCGGTGACTCTGGTGTAAACGCCAGGGTAGCCCGCCTCCGCGCACCGCAGACCGTATGACACCACGCCGATGAGGTAGTAGGTCCCGTCCGAAGCAGGCCAAACGAGGGGACCGCCGGAATCTCCCTGCAGTCATGACAACTAATTGATCCCTGTACCAAACCACCTTCCCGCCAGAAACCACGCCTAGATTATGTTTGTCCTTACCTGGCAAGCGTCTTTGCCTCCCTTCTGCAGCCCGGCGCACAGCGTTCTGTTGTCGATGGTCGCTGTCTTGATGCCGGCGAAGGCGCGCTGGCACTCCTCTACTGAGACGACGGGCAGCTGCACCTGCATCAGCATGGAGCTGCTGGGGCCGTCTGCGGACAAGCAGGAGAGGGTCGTGAGGATACGGCGCTGTACCCGCCGGCCAGTGTTCCGGATCGGTCGGCTATGCATGAGTCCGGCAAGACAGCGAACCCGACCTGACCCGACCCGGTGGCTCAGCGGGTTGCAGTGCGAGAGAGAGAGAGAAGATGCAGTCTCACTCGCACGCCGAATCGTCGGGTTCCGAGCGAGATCTGAACCCGACCGATCCGGAACACTGCCGACGGCGAGCTATTAGGCCGCTAGCGTCCGAGATCGAGCCGGAGCGACTTACTGAAGGAGGTGGAGCCCCAGCCCGCGGTGAACGGGTTGTACCTCTCGAAGGAGAGCGAGCGGATGTCGGGCCGCATGGGCAGGCAGGCGGGCTCGATGCCGTCTGGAAGCAGAGGGCAGAGGTCGTAAGCACCTGGCGGGTGCAAAGGTAGGCAGCCGGTAGGCAGCTCTGCTGTGAACTAGTGCCCTATAGCCTACCGGTGGACGGCGCCGCGCTACGGAGCGTCAGGATGGCGATGTCGTTGGTGAACCTCGTGGGGCTGTACTCGGGGTGCACGTGTTTGGCGGCGACCTCGATGTCGACCGGGTGCGCGCCGTCCTCGTCGTCCTCCAGGTCGAGCTCCCCGAGCCGGGCGAGGTAGCTGCGCCACCGACAAACAAGCGCAGAATTGGTTTAAGCTCTTGAACTCGCTTTTCCTCCGATTCCAGAGGCCAAAGTCGGAGTGGGTACTCACAGGGTTTTCTTCTGGTACACGCAGTGGCCCGCAGTGACCACGTGCTTCTCGGAGACCAGGGTGCCGCCGCACTTGAACTGGGGGCGGCCGGCGAAGGAGCTGCGGGGGTGCGTCTTGTAACCCAGGGCGACGATCCACGGCCACTCCCCTGCAACGCGCCCGAAATAAAATACAACCCGGCGTCGGTCTCGCTGCCCGCCTTGCTCATGCGTTCCAAACGGCACATCGAAAAAACAAACGGTGTCAACAGCATCATGCACTTTATTGAGCCCAGATTGTGAAAGCCTAAGATGAATAGTTGGAGAGGAGTGGACTCAAGCTTTGAGGGCGGGCGGGTCGCAGACCCGGCGCGGCGCGTAGCTGAGGAGGCGACCCACATGCTGGGGGACGGGGTTGTCCCCGCAGGACCCCGCCCAGCGCGCCTTCACCATCACCAAGCTCTCTGCAACAAGCACACTCGGCCGGTTGACGGACCCGCGGCGCGCTCGACGACGAGGAGGGTGCTGGAGTAGCAGGCGCGGAGCACTGACCGTTGCGCGCGGCGGTGCCCCCGACCACCCGGGTGAGCCCCGTGCTCGAGTGCTGCCGGCCGCAGCTCCTCGGCGCCGAGGCGGGGAAGTCCGTCGGGAAGTTCTCCTTGGGGAAGCCCTCGTTGGGGATCGGGGTGAAGCCGGCGACGCGGTTCCAATCCGGGATGTTGCCGCTCTGCGAGGGCGCCCGCCCCCGCTGCGGGCAGCACACCTTGGGGTTCCGGCCCTCGAACCTGCAACCAGCCCGAGGTTAACTCTTGTCCTCACGCCCACGGCAGGAGACGGAGCTGGAGTCGCTCTCACCCGCACTGCGACCTCCTCAGGAAGTCAATCTGCACGCTGTTGAGCCGCTGCTGCATCAGGAGGTATAGTGAGTGGCAGCTCTGGATGCGCTGGCAGTTGCCCGGCAGGTTGGCGGGCGTGGTGCAGTCTGAGGGCGGCTCCAGGTCTGTTGGAGCAGAGCAGTGTGTCGGGGATCATCCAGAAAGTACGTCCGTCATTAGCGCCGTTACGAGACTGCCAAGGCAAGCTCTCATGGCGCCTGATGAGTAGGCAACATCTCGCCTGCAATGCATGCGTGCGGAGCGGGGTGGCCTACCCTTGGGCTCGCAGGCGCTCGCGGCTGAATGAATCTGGGGGAAACAGACGTGCTTTCTGGACGGCCCCTTGGGACCCTTCGGATCAGCCATCGAGTACAGTGCAGTCACTGATCCTGGACCAGCACCAATAAGACTGGCCCATGCCATTTGGCCTCACCTTTCGTGCCGGCCTCGGGCAGGTCCTCGAAGGGCCGCGGCGTGGCGTTGGCTGCGGGGCTGGCGGTGCTCTTCTTGCTGACCACGGCCTGGGCGGCGGGGCCGCACGCGCCCAGCACGGCCAGCAGCAGCAGCGCGGCGGGGCGGGACATGCTGCGACCGGAGGCGAGGCCGGAGGTGTTCCTGCGGAGGGCAGGCACTTCACTGAGGTGTTCCTGCAGAGGGCAGGCCCTTTACCGAGGTGCTCCTGCGGAGGGCAGACACTTCACTGAGGTGTTCCTGCGGAGGGCAAACACTTCACTGAGGTGTTCCTGCCCAGGGCGGGCCCTTTACTGAGGTGCCTCTGCGGAGGGTAGACACTTCTCTG